TGAAATAAAAAATTTATATTTAAAGTGTATGTAACACATTTTATCACCTATTCTCATCAAATTTCATACTAAGTATTCAAGAGTGGATTGAAAAGTTTCTAGTTTATTTTTTATCCAATAGTTTTGAGTCTATGTCGAAAAATAAAAATTAGTGCTATCGAAAAATACAAATTAAATCTATGTTATGTTCAACACTATTCAATCCGACTACACATATAATTATACAAATAATTTAATTTGAATTATAACGTCAAACTTTTTACAAAAATCTTTGTTTCTAATTCCGTAGAGCATAAAATAGTTCGAGTCCAATCAAATTCATTAGTAAAATTAAACGTTATCGTTAATTATCCAATTGCCACATCTGTTAGTGAAGAATATATTCTCCGTTAAAGATAAGAAATAAGATAAGAAAAAATATATAAGATAAGTTTAGAATAAAAATTTAATTTTACAGTTATGCATGACATGCGTTTCGATTCTTTCTTTCTATCTCTTTCTTTCTCTCACGAAAGTACCGTAAAATCTAGTTGCATTTTTCACCGACTATATAGAATGCGTTAGTTTTGATAAATGTGTAAAATATTTTATCTATATGTAAATAATATCTGTGATATAAATATCGGGTTTGAAGAAAATTAATGGACGGAAACGATAAAGTTAGGTTATTGTTGTCGTTTCTACGCATATAGACGGGTATCGATTAATTAGTATAAAATGTATATAAAACGTTTAGTTTTATATCATGTGAAAATTATATCGAATATATCTTGAATATTTATACAAATATAACGGAAATAAATATTTCACGCTGAATTTTATTTATTCCATATTTTTGTGTGTTGAAGGTTATTTTTGAAGATTATATTTATATATTTAGTTATATATTGTGGTACTCGCTTAAATAACGGCTACAATTATGCAAAGGAAAAAAATATATATATTTCGATTAAAAAATACGTTGATGTTATTAAAAACATTGAAAAATATAATATATTATCATTACCGTATACGTTCTTCGAAACTATTTTAATTTTGATATATATATCCACATTTCGTATGTTTAAATCCAACAGCGATATTCAGGTGTCCTGCTTCTCGTGACTCTCTCTGTATATTGATATGTATATATATATATATTTATAATATAATACATAATATACTTATAGATATACGTATATCTATTTATATAGGCATTCTGATTAAGCATGAAACGAGGATACACGTTGATAATTTGCATCGTATTTTAATAAGTATATAATCCATATTGATTTTCGCTTACTGTTATCAGAAAAACAAAAATATTACATTGTGTATCCGTATAATTATTAAATTAAAATATAAAATAGGTACGTATTAATCAAAATTATAATATGTCGTATAATTTTGTACTTTACTTTACCATAACAATATTTTCCATCTACACGCATACACTCATACGCGCTCGAACATATTCATATTAACACAAAAAAAAAAAAAAAAAAAAGAAAAGAAAGAAAAATACAGATCATCAAAATTATCATCTTAATAATATCTTCAACGTAACCGTTTGCAAATTCATGAGATAATATACATAAAGAACATATGTTAAGATATAAAAAAAAAAACATTGGAGAAAAAAGCTATCCAAAGTACATCTCATCGTTCATAAGAGATCAGGGAGGAAATATTTGAGAACCTTTAAAGCGTATTTGTATTTTGAAACGCGAAGAGACGACATCGAAGGGAGAGGTGATACGAGAGAACGAAGTACGGAATAACGGGGGTGGTAGTGGTGATTGTGGTGGTATGGGGGTGGGGGGGAGGTAGTAGTAGTATTAGTGTTGGTGGTGGTAGTTCGGTCCTCTAGGTATAAGGGTGGTAGCAAACAGAATGGTGGGGCACGTTCGGTGGATGGAAGGAAGGAAAGAAGGGTGAGGAAGTGGAAGAGCCGAAGAACGGTGAAGAAGGGCGAGAGGGGACAAAGGGGTAGGGGAGAGCTTGGGTTTCAACCATGATTTCCATTCGCCAGCCATCCATCTTGTTTGAGACTGGAAACTGACAGATAGACGCGGATCCGAGTGCCGGTGACGTGGCAAGTCTTGCACGATATATATGCGCGTATGTGTGTCCAAGTGAACGCGCGAGCGCGCACACATATACGCGTTCCTTCTCACTCTCTCTCTTTCTATATATATATATATCTATCCATGTGTAAGTTTAAGTGAGTTACGCGTACCTTGCCATATCTTTGAGGCAAGCATCTACCCTCCTCGCACCCTGTATCTATGTGGAAAATACGTTTTCCATGCAGCAAAGCGAGCTCCCTTTGGAACATCGCGTTTTAAATTTCTTGCCGTCCATTGCGAACGTCGCACGGTTCCTTCCGTGCTTTCTCTTTTGATAAAATTTTTGAAAAAGAGAGACAGAGAGAGAGAGAGAGAGAGAATGATTCAATGCGTTAACATTTCTTTATTATATTGTAACTATTTATCTTGTATTTGGATATATTGTTTCAGATTCACATTAGGAAATAAGAATTGAATAGATTTCTTTTGAATAAATGCAAATGATAAATAATTAACAGAATGATTTCAATAAAAATGATTTAGATTTAAGTATTTATCGTTGATTACGATTGTTTCATTTGACGCGAATACGATTCGAAGAATGAAATTATTTTACGTGCATGTGTGTAAAAATAATATTATATGAGACTGTAAGATCAATGTATGTGTGTTAACACGTATAACTGCATAAACAGCTTTCACCCGATATACGTTGCGGCTGTTCTACCAATAAATACAATAGACCACGAAACGGACGCCGCGGATCTATACCTGGATCTATGAGCATTTGAATCTGAATCAGACATTTTTCGCCGTTCGGATTTACCGCGAATACATCCGAGAGATATTCCACTTTTATCCCTGATGAATAATGGATGGATAATATTAAAAGAGGTCCCGGCCATTACTCGCATAAGCGAGTTTACAAAAACGTATCTTCGAATTATATTTATAGCTGTATTACATACATATTACGTATTATAGTTATTATTGGAGAATCGAATATATAGATATTTGATTTGTTTTATATTCATTTCATAATAAGCAATTGTGTAGAAGGAAAGAAAAGAACAAAAAAAAGAAAAAGATAAGAGATATAGGAAAAGTTTCGAAATTTCGGCAATATAACGAATTCGAATTTTATCGAGGAGGGTATGGGGGAATTGGGAAGTGTACGGGTGGGGTTTCTTCAGTTAAAACGTAGAAAAATTGAAATGGGCGAGGTGAAAGAATGAATAAAGATCAGAAAGGAAGAAGAAGACGAAGAAGAAGAAAAGAGAGGAGCGAGGGTCGTCGGCACGTGAAGCGGCAACTTGGTTGCCTTGGCGTGGCTTCGTGTGTGTTTCTCTATGTGTGTGTGTATATATGAGAGAAAAGGAAAGAGAGTTAGTGTGTGAGAGTGAGAGAAGAAGAAGAAGAAGTAGGAAAGGGGCAGCTTGTCCCTGCACGCGAGTGATATTAGGTAGAAACGCATGAACTTTGATATATTCGAGAAGGGGGGGCCTCGAGGCGGTAGAGGTGAATGGCGGAAGCAGAGGGCAGCAGAAGGCGCCATACCGCGGCAAGTATCCGAACTATACGTGACCTGCAACTTTCTGGTAGCATCTTTCCGGCGAAATCGATCTAACAAATCGCTGGCATTAAATTCTCGCTATACTCGGTTCTACTCGGTAAAACGACATCCTCTACCCGAAATTTCCCATCTTTATTCTTTCTCTCTTTTCCAACTTGCTATCTTATGCAAGCATTACTTTCAAAGTATGGGTATAGATACATATATACATGCTTAGGTGCCTCATCTTTTCAAATGTCGACCGTCTAACGTTCTTACAAATTGAAAATCATTTGCAACCTATCTTACTAGCTAAGTCATTGTATCTCAACGTTCAAGAAAATCTTCAATGTTTGTATCATTTTCAAATATATCATCCAAATGAATCTAAGATTAATACGTATGTTATAAAGAAAATTACATTTCAATTCTAAATACGTTTATCAAATATCTGTAAGGAAATATTTAGATTCTGTTTAGAACGGTATATGGATACAATCAGGTTTAGCAACAAGTAGCCTACGTCTTTAGGATTCGCCTAACCACGCACGAATAATTCGTTTCCGTTGAAACGCCGATCGCCCTTAGCGACCCTGCAAAAGGGGGCTAAGAATTCCCGAGAAATTTACTGAATAAAATAGATGATGGCGAACGATGCGTATTTCTTCTTCCAGTCGAAATGGAATGTGTACCGAATGTGGTTTACGAAAGAGCTTTCAGAAAAGCGAGAAAATCCGAAAGAAAGGGGTGGAAGACATGAGACAAAGAAAGAAAGAGAGAGAGAGAGAGAGAGGGTTAGAGTGAGGATAAGGAGGATGAGGAAAGGAGCGGAAGGCGGAAAACAACGGGAAATAAAGCAGCGGAAGAATCGCGTCGCAGGAAAAAGAATGAGGGCGCTGTCAGCTGGTGGAAATTATTC